CCATGTTGTACTCCATCTGCTTAAGCGTAGTAAATCGGGATTAATTTTTTCAACACAAACGTTTGCAGGGTCCTTAAAATATGAGTAAGCACACTTGAAATCATCGGCATAAATAAAAGTTCGCGAATTTCTGACTACAATCGAAATATCTTTTGTGTAAAGAAGGAAGAGTGCCGAACCTAGAACCGTGCTTTGAATTGCGCCACTCATGATCGAGTGAGGTGTTGAGTAACTATTACCAACCATGAATTTCTGATATCGGTTGGGTAGGTAGGACTGGATAAAGTCAAGTTGTGGCGGTCGGATGCCGAGAGCTTCCAATGTTGCCAAAAGACATCTATGGGGCACCTTGTCGAAGTCTTTGCTGAGATCAAAGCTGACAATTGCCACCGACTGCTGCTTGTTACGAAGAGCAGTGATTAGCTTAAGAAATGCCAAGTGGCAAGTTCCGCATAATCGTTCAAGTAAAAATCCCTGCTGATTAGAGCTAAGAAGTTGATTAGCTAGACAGAAGTCAAGAATTTCGTTGAAAATTATTCTTTCAAGAAGTTTTGCCAAAGACGGTGTTTTGTGCCCGCCTCGATAGCTATTAACATCGGACCGAGATCCAGACTTGAATACAGGACTGATAATTAATGTCTTCCATGTTTCGGGAAAAATCCGTTTGAAATATAAACCGAGAATAAATGACTAAGCAGTATGGGAAGGTCGAATGCCTGTTTAATGATGGAATTTGGAATCCTGTCCGTTCACAAGCAGTGGGAGCTTTGCAAATGACTTATGCGTTTTTAATTAGATCTGAGGAGACATCGAATGGACTTAATGTCCTATCTGAAAGTGAATGAAAGAAGGGGACTGGTTCGGACTGAGTAACAATGTGCCTTGCAAAGAAGGCACTAAACAACTCCGCCTTGTCAGTGACATCTATGAGGAAGATTTTGTTATCGTCTAGCAGAGGTAGAATTTTGTGACAACGCTTAGAGGAGGACCGCTGACGGAAGATGGTAGCGACAAATTTGGTAGGGTTTGGATCACTGAGAGCAGGTGATTCTCTTCGCCCTTCGCGCGCTTGGCGCATCCCTGAGACCATTTCGAAAGTCTCTGTGACTCTAAGATGAACTGATAAAGAACTAGTGGATAAGTCACAAACCTGCCGTCTCAACTTTTTAGTCTGTTGCGAATAAAATGAGGAACAAGAGAATCTGAAGAATTAGGCTTGAGATATCTACGCGGCACGAACTCTAAGATGTCCTTGGAAACATTAAACATGATGTCACGAAGAATGGTCACACCGCTACAGGAGAGAAAGCCACATCAATCTAGTGATCTAATAAAAGTATTTATTAAGTCTCTATCAACTCAATCGTAACTTAAGTAAGTCCGAACTGTGCTGGTCTTTTTTGAAAAGGCAAGAGGTAAAAAACAATGAATTAATATGTGGTCACTATCAAAGAGGCCCTTTTTGAAACCAACATAAGGAGGGGCAGTGCCATTGGTAAAGATTAGATCTAAAATGTGATTATCTCCCGTTGAAGAGCTCACCAGTTGGGGACAGTTAGAAAAATTGACAATGTCTTGGAAGAGCTGGAATCTAGGTGGACAGCTATTAGAAACCCAGTCTATTTCGGGAAGGTGAAAATCCCCAGTGATTATTTTAATATCGAAAGCAGCTTCCTAAATTAATTTAAAGATTTCACGGAGTTGTGAATCATCACTGGCTAAAGAATTTGGGGGATTGTAGATTCAGACAGTAATTGCACTTCTTTTTGGCGAGAGAATAATAAATACAAAGCGACAGATTCCCGTGAATGTGGAGGCATCCAGGTAATGGGGAGAGTGCTTTAGATAGGATCTAAGATAAAGCAGACAACCGCCCCCACGTTTAGTCGTGAGGTGTTGACGGTAAAAATCGAAGCCATCCATAAGAAGGGCAGAGTCAGGAATTATAGAATGGATCCAGGATTCTGTTACGCATATTATATCAGGCGTCATTCAAGAGCAATGACTGCGATTGGGTCATTTTGTTTATAACAGACCTGGCATTCAATAATATAATATCCAATGTATTTCGAACAGCAAGGATATTGTCGACGGTATTTCAAAGAAACCAATTTGGAGGCGGATATGCAAGCTGTGAATTAATGATGCTTGGGGAATAAGTATCAGTTAGTTTAGAGTTATTGACGTACGGGGAGTCAGCAAGAGAAGACTAGGCATGTGACCTAAAGTATGTGGGAATATAGTTTTCGAGCACTGGAATGCTAGATGAGTTAGAACAGGAATAGGCCTGTTGGTAGTTAACTTGTGAAGGACGGGAAGGAGGAGGAACCTAGAAGGAAGGTGGAGGCAAGTGGGGGGGGGTAGACAGCTATAATAATAAAAGAGTGGGAAACTAGGTCTGGGTTGGAAGTCAAAGGAGTTAGGTTAACTTATCTGAGGTCAGTTGGCCTTAAGTGGGGGGAAACCTGAACTAGGTCGGAGGGTAAATGACTTAGGGCAATTCACATATGAATTATTTGCTGGATTTATAGTAGGAATTTGGTAAGTAGCCGGTACGCAGGACGGAGAATTGTTTGGGGATATAATTGAAGCTGCGGGGTTTGTAGATGTGCTGGGCTATAAAGGCTTGGTAGATCTAAGAGAAGACTACTTACTCCTAAATGGAATTGTACTACCTTTCTACTTGGGCATGAGTCTGACTTAGTTTTGGAAGGCCACTGTTTTGACGCCGCGCCGCAGGGGACTTAACTTTAGAGCTCGCAGGATCCTGTTTAAATGGGAAAGCTATCGTTCTAGCTGATGTAGACGGATTTCCGTGCGTCCTATGGGAGTTATCCAAGGAATAAGCGACGACAACTGAGGCTGCTTCTGCTTATTTAGAGGCAGAAGAATGCGTCGAGTGGCCTGAGTGGGAGGAAGATGTGGGAGTAAGAGAGTCGATGTCGCGAGAGTAGGATTAGCTGAATCCTCACGGCCACTTGCATTTTGACCGAGTTGGTGGACATTTGACTGAGAAGATGTGGGTTTATGTAAGAAGAGCGATCCGATTCTACGCTCCATGGGGCAAAATCATGACAAAGGAAAGACTTTGCGTTTCCGAGACACGAAGAGGCACGATGTCGATGTGCAAATTAATACTCGACCTCGATTGATGAAAACGACTTTACTAAGACAAGAGTATTTTTGCTACGAGGGACAGGCGTTTTACGTCCACAATTTTGTAATTGAAACCACACCAGTACAATAAATGAGTCTCAACATCAACTGGCCATGCGGATCGAGGAACATTTTTCAACAAGAATTTGTAAGCTCGTTTTTGTCTATCACTAGATTCCCCGACGATAGGGTGAACAAGTTTGTCAAGATGTTTGCATTCTTGAGAGAGAATATCGGAGATGTTCCCGTCAAATAATCCTCCCAGAACTGAGAACAAAGTGCCAAACTTTAGTATAAAATCATTGCAGTTTTAAATTGTCGACAGATTAGGCTGCCTATCATTTACAACGGGTGTCGACTGACAAGTAATGCTTTCTGACTAATATTTAGTTAAATTATGCTTAGGTACGGAGGTCAAGAGCTTTCTCCGACCAGTGACTTTTGTCCTCATCTTGTCTCTAGGTAAGTTGTAACTAAGTGAACTTCTGACGGACTATGCGACTAAATTTCAACTAGAGGCCAACGGTGTAAAAAATTTAAACAGATAGAGAGAAATCGAATGCACAAAGCGCGAACTGGAGAATGCGACTGGTGAGCAACAGACACAAACTAGCAAAACCGAAAGAGGAAATGGCAACCGGTAATTCTCAAATAATAGACCTCTGTTTTAAAAAATTAATCAAAAAGCAGGAGCTAGAATCTTTAGGTCGCCTATACAAGCCACCTAAAGTAATATCTTCTGCTTATCTTTAAATTTAAAACTAACGGCTTGACCTCGACTCAACCTCGAACCCGTAGGGTGTTTGCGGTGGCGAGTTGGAAAACGTTGTCACACCGGAGGGCACAGTCCAGGCCACGTCCGGTACGGAAAGTCTGTACCATGTCTACGCTCAACTGCCTACA